GGAGTAGGGTTTTTTTTTATAGAATAGGGTGACAAACGAGCACACAGTCCACCTGATGGTAAGTGGATGCGGTGGCCCATAGACATCTACATCTATCCTCCATTAAAAATCAATATGCAGATGCGTTGTCACCCGTGAGGACTGAGTTGGAATGCCTCGTTTCCAGTAAAAAGGGTTTCCAGTTTTCTACACTCACCATACGAAATACAGCAGCATTAAGCTACTATTTCACGCTGGTATTCTGTGAGAGCGTGGTCCTTCCCCGGTCGAGCCGACCCATTCGTGCTACAACTATACTACTAATATAACTGCAGTATGGCTCTACCACGTATACTTGTTTCCAGTGAAAAGGGTCCCGGGTTCTCTACACTCACCTTATGAAACACAGCAGTGTTAAGCTGCTATTTTACGCTGTTATTCTGTGAGAGCCTGGTCCTGCCTTGGTCGAACCGACCGATTCGTGCTACAAGTATAATATAGCTGCAGCGTAGCTCTACCACGTGTAAAGATTCCGCCTTGATGATTCCGTAAGCATTCCGTTATGTGTATTTCTCTTGGAACACTAAAACGTAGTCAGTAGCAGGTGTTAAAAAATTTGATAAGCCTAAGATAATTGAGAATACCTCAAGGCATTAAGTCCGCCTTCTGTAATCCTTTTTATTAAGGTAAAGTGTAAATAAATAAATATAATATAGCTGTAGCGTGGCTCTACCACGCCCAATTTTATTTTAACCTGGTGATCCTGATCAAAATACTGGAATAAATTAATTTATTATTGTATTGCCATCGGTATTTAATACTAGTGCAAGTTTCCAAGTCAATCGTCCGTCCACGAGTTTGAGAATTACATTAGGAGGAATGTGAAGTGCTGTTATGTGCGCGAGCAGGTGTTTTCAAAAATGCTATCTGTTTCATACCACCAAATCTGTTCCCTCCGGGCGTGGTAGAGAGAGTTGCAAGTCTTAAAGGCAATTGCCTACATTTGCTTTTTGAAATATTGTTTTGAGCGATAACGTTTTCACACCCCCTAAACCTTTACGAAATGAGACAATTTTGGTCTCATTCAATTCAGTACACATTAATCTAGGTCTGTACGTTTTTATTTATTAGTCATTTAGTTCAGTTAAATTTAAAGAAAAAAAAACGCTCAAGGAAGTTTTTAAGTCAAAAATATAGATATTTAGGTGCTAATACTTATATCGTACGCAAAATTTCTTTAAAATAAAAACGTACGGACCTAGGTTTTTATTGTATCTACATTTTCAAATTATGAAAATTAGACTGTGTTTATGCTATATGGTTTTCAAGTCAGCAGTTTCCAAATAATAGATTCTAATCTAATTATTAAACCTCATAGGTTTTCATTTTGTTATGCACGTTGGACTGAATAAAAGATGAAGAGAATGAAAAGTTGTTTCCACGTGGAAAGTTCCTAAATAATAATGTATTACAATTCCTAAATAATTTTGAATCCTATGATCTCATTCGATACGTAAGATAAAGTTTTAATAAAAGTTAACTTTATATTGCCAATTAAAAAATTTCATGGTCTAGTTTTTATTTTAATAAAAAATTATTTGATTTGAAAAATTATATTCTTTTTATTATTTCATAAAATAATTGACCAATTTTCCCTTAACAAAGTATACTTTAGTCATAAGACGATATTTTCCAGAGAGAAAAGATGTTAAATGTTTTTAACCACATGTACTTCTCATATTTTCTAACAGAAAAAAGGAATATAGCATAGGTACATTATATTATATTCTTATCCAACAAACTAGTTCGGTGAATAAAAGCATAATATTACTTTCTTTTCAGAGTGATTCCATTCCATGGTGATGTATTCTTATACACGAATATTTTTTTCTAAAATTATTAATTTTCTAAAGAACATTGGTGTATCTATTCATACATTTGTCTTTAAAAAAAGCCTAATAAAGAGTATTGTAATTAAAATAAAAGTTAACTAATTAAATATCAACTTCTACTTTTAGCTTGTGAAATCAATAATGAGTATTTTTTGAAGCAATTTTTGATTAAAAAGGCGAAATTGCCAGATTCTCCAATAAAAATATATTGAGAAATAACTAGTTTTTTCGCTCTCCCTTAAAATGTACTTTTTACACTTATGCTTTTGTTCTTCTTAAGGAACGTATTATACATACGTATGCATAGAGAGAACCTACTATTCGAATAGTAGTTTTTTTTTATAGAAGAGGGGGCAAACGAGCATGCGGCTCACCTGATGTTAAGTGACTACCGCCGCCCATGATCAACCGCAACACCAGGAGAATTGCAGGTGCGTTGCCGGCCCTTTAGAAATGAGTAAGCTTTTTTCTTGAAGGTCCCCAGGTCGTATGTGGACCGCCGGTGGTAAACTATTCCACAGAGAGGTTGTACGCGGAAGAAAACTTCTTCTGAAACGTACAGTGGTGGACCGCCAAGCATCCAAATGGTGTTGATGGTAACGGGACGTTACCAGCCGTGTAGTGCGTTCACGAAATTTGGCAGCTGGGATTAATCCGAACAATTCCTCAGAGCACTCCCCGTGATAGATGCGATAAAATACGCAAAGAGATGCAACATCTCTTCTCAACGCCAGTGAATCGAGCCGATTGGAAAGCACTCGGTCGTCGACTATTCGAGCCGCTCTGCGCTGGATGTGGTCAAGTGGAAGGAGCTGGTACTGGGGAGCTCCAGCTCAGAGATGGGACAGTATTATTATTATATTGTAGTGTATTCTCATCTGGTTGGGCTGAATAAATATATAAAAGGAAATGATAAATATACATAAATATATATTTCATATACCAGCACAAATAAATAAATAATACATAAATAAATAAAAGCCCAACCAGATAGAGGCCCTCGGCAGGGGAGACCAGACGGCCGAGGGTTAGGGGGAAAGGGAGAGAAACCGGCGGATGATGCGGGCGGTATCGAGGAGCACCGCCTTCTGCATTTGAGCTCGGAGCAGTCCGTCACGGAGTCCCAGCCTCCTCAGATGACCCGAGAGGCTGACTGGGATTAGCCCATTTGCAGAAACGACTACAGGAATAATTTCAGACGGCAGACCACCCCACATGTCGTTCGCCTCGTGAGCCAGGTCCAGATATTTTGTTCGTTTATCTGTTTCGGCTTTCACGAGGTTCTCTTCATATGGAATGGTAATGTCGACCAAAAATATCCTTGACAGTGCCCAGTCCATTAGCACAATATCAGGCTTATTCGCAAGAATAGTCCTGTCCGTGATGATGGCCCGGTCCCAGTAGAGCCTGGCGCGATCATTTTCGAGCACGGCTTCCGGCAAGTACTTGTAATACGGCAGTTTCCGATCCACGAGACCGTATTTCAGAGCGAGCTCCTGGTGAAGAATTCTGGCTACTAGGTTGTGCCTGTGCAAGTACTCAGAGTTAGAAAGTGCCGAACAACCGGAGATGACATGCCTAAGTGACTTCCCGGGATGGCGACAAGCTCGACAGATGTCGACGTTGCCATCCTTTAGGACGTATCTCCGATAGTTGTTGGTCTTAATAACCTGATCCTGTATTGCACAGACAAAATCCTCGGATTCCCCGAAGAGGTCACCAAAACCTAGTCAGTTGAGGGAGGCTACTGTGTCTACGAAAGGCTCATGTAAGGCCTTGTAGAACCTCCCGTGGAGCTCCTTCTTCTTCCATACGGTCTCCCGGTCGGAAATGCTCTACACTGTCGGGTCTTGCCATTGCTCGTTGGCTAAGACAGAGGGGTAAGTCCTTTATCACAAAAAATGACGTCCTTATAGAATGGATCATCCGATCTCGACAGGAAGTAATTACGGAGGCTGCACACTTCGCGATTATGCATGGTGAGCGCGCTCAAAAAGCCACGCCCACCATGCTTTCGCGGCAAGTACAGCCTCATTATCGACGATCTCGGATGATGCATCTTATGGGACGTCATAGTAGTGCGGACTTTTCTATCCAGGGCGTTAAGTTCAGCCTGAGTCCAACTGAGTATGACAAAGGTATAGGACAGGCATGATCCAACCGTTATATGCATGTATCTTATTCACACCAGACAAAAGACTGTTGAGCACTTTGGTCAAGCGTGCATAAAACACGTCGCTAACTGACTGTTTCATGCCAGCCTCATCGATACCGATGTTCTGTGACACACCCAGGTATCGGTATGTTTCAGCCTCAGAAAGGGTCCTTAAACTGATGGGCATAGATAAGTCTATGCCCCCAGAGTTAGCAACCCTTCCCCTTTCTACATGGAGGACCGCACACTTATTCGTCCCCAGCTCCATTCCAATAGAATTGCTAAATTCAGCAGCAGTTTAGCAATTCCACAAGATGTGAGCGACTGGAGGCGAATAACTTGCGGTCATTTATATAAAAAGGTGGGTCACTTTTGTAACTCCTTTCCGAAGCTGAAAACCCCTCCCGGAGCCATCCAGTAAAGTACTGAGAGGGTTCAGAGAGAGGCAGAACCAGATTGGACTCAGACAATCGCCCTGGAAGATACCCCTTATTATCCTTATGTGGCTTTCCGCAGCCATCATCCGCTCGCCCAGGTGACAAAGCATCGTACACCACTGCCCCATACACTGCTCGAGGAAGTCTCTAACTGTACAGTCAATCTTGTACAGTTCGAGGACCCCTCCTTAGCCATGTATGGGGCACCGAGTCGAATGCCTTTCTGTAGTCTATCCAGGCAGTGAAGAAGTTCCAACGGTTGCGTTTCACCACTTTGCCAATGACCGCATCAATGAGGAGTGGTTCCTTGGTTCCACGAACACCGCCCCGACATCCTTTTTGAGCGCGCGACATCACCTGATTTGAGTCCAGGTGACGAGTGATTCTCGCGCTCAAAATTGATGTTAGTGTCTTGTATATGGTTGGTAGACACGTGATGGGGCGGTATTTGCTCGGGTCTGTGGTATCCTGTTCTTTAGGAACCAAATGAGTGATCACAGTAGGGAAGAGGCTCGGGATCGACTTCTAGTTGAGAGCCTATTGGAACTGTCGGGCGAGCACAGTGTGACACACTACAAACCCCTTCAGCCAGTAGTGATGCAGCCCGTCGAGTCCCGGACTTTTCCAGTTCGGGGCCCTACGGATCGCCTGTGCTACGTCATTCGGCGTTATAATGACTGGGTCCATGGGCGTTATACTCGCACACTGACTAGCCACAACTTCCATCCAAGAGCCCTCGCTGTGGTTTACGGGCTCTGACCACAGGCCACGCCAGAATGTTACAGTGTCGGCCTGATTCGGTGCTGGTCGCGTTCCACTTGCCATTGGTCGCTCCAATGATTCATAAAGCCTCTTCTGAACACTCTGGAAGAGACGATTCTGGTTGAATCGAGTCGACCTCTCGGTATATCGCCGAATTCGCTTTCCCCAAGCAGCGATTCTTTGCTTCAGATCATCTATGCGCTCCGTCAGTTATTGCATTATATCCGGCTGGGACAAACTGACTTTTGTCCCAGCAAACGCCATCCTGACGGTGCGCACAATTCTTGGCCTGTTATTGCCGGATGTGAAGCATATCAGTCTGCCGATGAGAGCTCTAGCCTTTGCGATACGCTCCTCAATTCTTCTTCTCCATGCTGGGATAGCGCTACTTTGGCCAGTAGCGCGTACAGCCGTGGAAATCTTGGCACCGATGATACGGCAGACTGCCAGCGTGACGCCAAAAAGAATTGAGTCCGTATCGCAAAGGTCCCGGCTGGCTTCCAAATAGGTCACCAGCATTGGGTTCAGAGCCCTCACGACAGCCCGATTCCGCTTGCTTAGGGCTATGCGGGAAAGTCGCGGTCGATTTTCGAGAGGCGTACTGCGCGTTTCCACAATCGCCTGCCTTATTATTATTATTAGTATCAGTATTACAGTTCTTTCTATTTTATATTATACGTAGACGTAAATTAAGTCAGTATACTTGTCTCGCTTTTTCTACTTTAATTTTATAAGGAAAAACGACAACTCTTTTGAAAAACGACAACTCTCTTGAAAAACGACTACTCTTTTGAAAGATGTTGCGTGTAATTCATGCGTGTAAATAGAAATTTCAAGTGGTCATTTTTGGGTCTCTTTATACTATGCTAAATATGAGAGTAAGTATAATCATATCTTTTGATTTACTAGGAATATGACATCCCTATTATAGTAGTAGTATTATACGTGACCTTACTTTGCCAGACATGACGCATTTCGTTCGCAATGTTAGCGACAATTGACATCGAAATACTCGTTTTTATTTATTTATTTACTACGAGTATTTAGGCACAAGTTTTTATTTAGAAGTTTTTATTTCAAGTTTTTATTTTAAGCAGATTTACTACTTGCTTAGCGAAAAATAAAACCATCGACTATAGTCAACAAAGCTTTATCTGCTTGGACGAAAATATTTCGAAATCAAGAAGTTAAGACAGAATCTTGATAACGTCGTGCTGTTATTGTACTATCGTAGCAGTGCCCTAAGTGTTCGTTCCGTGAATCAAACCCAGTGTCAATTTAAACACTGTTATAATTCCCTGTGAAACCATGATAAGTCTAAGAATAATTTGGCGGAAATATACCGGTTGAATTTTTAACGATATATTCCGGTTTTTTATGATATAATATTTTAAATTATACAACGATAGTATCAATTTCCGCATTATTCGAGTACGTTTTGTTGTAAGATGTCAGATGAAGCTTCCATAAAGTTTCATCGATTTAAATGAGTATATATATCCTTAATTCTACTAAGTCATAGACTAAATGAATTTATCGACAACATTTTTTATTTCTCTAATAGCACATCAATAGAGGTGTCTATGAAGTGGAAAAATGGCAACAACCTTGTAAAAGAAAGAAGGTAAGAATAATATAGCCATCTTATTTTGTACCATGTTAGCGGCCTATGATACCTCAGCTCAAATTCTAATTTCGTTTCCACTTTCCCGCGCCACTCGTTCGCACACTGCGAACTCGTTCCCATACTATGCGTAGCTCGACGTCACGCGGTCACGCTCTATCTGACGAGCACTAAGTAGGTAATAAAGTTTTCAGTCATAATTTAATATTACTCGTAACTTGTCATTATATGAACATAAAATTATATGTCGCAAATTTATTTTCATTGTACATACTAACGGACTACAATTCTTTTTACGGTGAAAGTAATGATAAATAAAAAAAAGTAAATAACATAACCCCTGCTTTATAGTTAGTTCAGTTAGTATGCAAAGTTTCATGATCTAATTTTAAGTATGTTTTTGTATGCCAGCGGTTTATAATTCGGTTTGGAGGTAACTTTGGATTATTTTTCTATCGAGAAAATTTTATGGAATCGTGTTTTCGTCTAACATAGTACTTAAAATTAATCCTCAACTTCACCATATATTTATTTCAAAAACATTGATGCAGTAGTTTCGGCATAACAGAGGATCTTGCTAAGCCATTTGAAGTCATATAGGCCCTTAAACGTCATATGCATAAAGAGTTCAGCTATATGAATTTTGTTCTCATTTTAGGACTGTGTCTATGCTAGTTATTACACCGAGGACCCAACTTAAGAAGTGAAACAAGTGAACGCAACTGAAAAGGATTATTAAAATGATATTTCACGCAAACTTCGAGTGCGTTGTTGTGTAAGACATACAAAAATCAAACTTGAAATACTTTAAAAAATAAATATTTATTATTCTTTAAAATGTTTATAATTTTATGTTGTAAACACATTTTTTCCCCTTTCCTTGAAAAAATATATAAATAACCTTTTTTTACTTCAATATTATGGCTTTGGTATTGTAGTTAGGTCACAATAATTCTTCCAAATAAATAACCTTAAAATAACGGTGTGCTATGACGGTGACGTGAACATTGACGTTTAGAGTTTGAAGATGTCTACTAGTCTATTACTAATTGTAAAGCACCATTTCATTTTATGAGTAAAGTAAAAAGATGCAGCCATCATTTGTGTATTTCAATAATTTATTACAATATTTTTATCAAGTATTCTACCGCTTATCATCTTCATCAAAAACGTTTTGGTCACTGTCGGGACTGACATCCTCATACTTTGAGGTATCTGAAAAAAAAGACATCTGTTAGTGACGCAAAAAATGTATGATATAATTTAATTGCTTAAGGAAATTTGTTCGCGACGGCCTAACAACCTTAAGAAACAAAATGATAAAGAATATTGTTTTATGTATTAATAGTGAAATTACCAAGAAAACTGAGTTAAAACATGTATTAATATAGTTGTTTAGCATATTTATAACTCTCAATATGTTTGTATAGAATGTCGTTTTGATAACAAGTAATATAAACAACTTTTATTATATACCAAAAAATCGACCAATCACAGCGCGTCTTATCGTGGAACTCTCTAGAAGTTTTTAATTAACTGCGTAATAGTTCATACTAAATATAATGAAAATAATTTTATGTCCTAAAAGAGTTATAAATATGACATTGAATTAGCATATGGCTTATAGATTAAGAAAGTATAGGAATATTTTTGTATAATTAAACGCATTTCGTAGTTATAGAAAAATTAAAGAATTAAAATGCCCAAATATTATGAAAATTTGGGACATTTCGTTTAATAACTTTTTACAATGTTAATGTTTTTAGTAACCTTTATGATATATTAATAAAGTATCAGACTACCGATTTAATGATGTATAGCATGTTAGTGTAGCAATTAGTTTTGTATAGAAAATATTGCAATTTATGCCATTTGTATAGTGATAAGTTTATGCAATAAAGAGGCAAAACGGAAAATGGTAAGCGGCTCACTGCAAAGTATTGCTAAAGTCTACCTTGGGGGCTCGGGACCCAGTATCCGTAGTAGTGTGAAGAACTACCAGTGACAAGTGAAGTGAAGTGAGTGGTATCCGGTGGTAGCTGAAGTGACTAGTAGCAGTATATAGTGAATAGTGAAAGTGTTAGCTAGCCGAAAAAGGTCGTAACTGACATTCGCAGTTACATAGTGAAAGTGTTACCTAGCCTAAAAAGGTCGTAACTGACATTCGCAGTTACACATAGTGAAAGTGTTAGCTATCCGAAAAAGGTCGTAACTGACATTCGCAGTTACACATAGTGAAAGTGTTAGCAAGCCTAAAAAGGTCGTAACTGATATTCGCAGTTACATATAGTGAAAGTGTTAGTTAGCCGAAAAAGGTGAAAGTGGTAACTGATATCCGCAGTTACACAAGTGATAAAATCAGCTAGTTTAGTTGATAATAGCTGCTAGTCAGTAGTGTTAGAAAACCAGCTACTACCAATAGATATTTGATACCACCGTACAATTTAAAGAAATCTTTTGAAATATACAGTGAACAACCGTAGTTTAACAACCGTGATAAATAGTTATAAAATTTCGCGACTAATCAACCAGTCGAACCGCTGGCCACTACCTTGCTATTTGTATTTGTTAATCGTGCATTTTGATTTTAACTACAGTCCACAATATTTCAGCGGCAACAACAAAGACGGCGGTGAGAGTACCCACCGGAACCTATAGGTGTAGGACGTGAGCGACTCGCGAAGTATCTTCGACAACATTTACTCCGGAGAGTTTCGCCCGTCCGGCACATTCGTTGGTCCTTCGAGCCGGATATATCCGTTTGTATTTCGGAACCGGGTAAATAGTCACCACCGTATTAAAACCGCAGAATTTTCAGATTCAAGATGCCGATCACCCGTTCGCAAGGAAGGGCAGCCAAGGCGTGGACCGTCGGTCTGGAAGGAGGTTCGTCGGCCAGTAACGCTGCCGTCCACCACCAGATGCCACCACGCTCACCGTCAACGGTAGAGGGCGCTGAGGCGCCATGCTGCCCCCTCCGAGGGGGGGATACCCCTGCCTTCGCCGTCCACTACGGCCCGCACAACGAAGCAGAGGGAACATCTAGAAGGCAACGATGACTTTAGCCATGCATCATCGCCACCAGCCCGGGAAGACACCCACACCGAAGAGCCACCGAGGGGCCACACCGATTGCAGTACGAACTCAAAGAAGACTGTTCGGCCCAATAGAAGAATTTTGAAGGCTCGTGAAGAAGTATTGAAGATCAAACTAGAACTTGCGCAGATCTCCTTGCAGATGGCTGTGGAAGAGGACGAATCGAACGACTATGATGAAGATGGTCACTCCAAAAGTGAGTACGTTCGATCTTGGCTCGAAAACTCTGTAGCCAAACAAAATTCAAATCAAGGCGCAATCACCGGAGGGAAGGCACCATTTAATAAAACCGTTACAAAGCCGACCCCGGACGTTGTCGACCTCAGTGAGCCCCAAAAGGAGCTCACGAACCAGGATTCCTATCCTGAAGATGCACAAAAGGATCCCATACCACAGAAGCTCAGCCAGGAACCCACCGGTGATGAAGACAGGGGGCTCCTACCGATTGTATCAGAGCTCACAAACCAGGATTCCTATCCAGAAGATGTACAAAGGATCCCAAGCCAAAGAAACCTAGCCAGGAACCTGTCATAAGTGAAGACAGGGGGGCTCCGTCCGTTTATATCGGAGCTCACATCCGCTATAGCCGCACTCGCTGACAAACCAAAGTTAGAGAGTGCGCCACTATCGTCGCATACTTTCGCAGCGTCGAAAGCTATAATGACACTGCCAAGCTTTAGCGGAGCACATACCGAGTGGCTTTCATTCCGTGCCATTTACGAAACAACCCGAGGCTACTTCAATGACATTGAAAACACAGCTAGACTAAGACGAAGTCTACAAGGAAGAGCCTTGGAAACAGTCAGTTCAGAACTCATCGGGCATGCTAAGCCAGATGAGATTATGCGAGAACTGGAGCTACAATTTGGGCGTCCAGATTCAATCGCGCAAGCAGAAACCGAGAAGTTACGAGGATTAGCACGCTGTACAGAAGCGCCCAGAGACATCTGCACATTCGCGAGCAAAGTGAGGGGAAGCGTCGTCACTCTTAGAGCCCTAAAGCGAGATCATTACCTCGTCAACGCAGAGCTGCTACGACACCTCACCGACAAACTGCCGAACTCTATACGTGCCCAGTGGTATAGAATATACACTGAAAAATACGACTCTAGACCAGACCTCGGCTGCTTCAGCGAGTTTATTACCGAGCAAGCTCGCTTCTGCAGTGCATTTGCGCCTCCAGAAATTATAAACGAAGCACAAAGCAATCGTTCAGTACATAGAGCACACGCGGCTACTACTAAGCCGTCTCCGAAATGCAGAGTGTGCGAAAAGGAGGGTCATTACGGATCCGAATGTAAAAAATTTAAAGAAGCAGATATTAACAAAAGATGGGAACTCGCAAAGCAAAATAATTTATGTTTCCGCTGTTTACGTTATCGAAATCAGACACACAAATGCAAAACCAATAAGTGTGGAATAAAAGGATGCACCGCGACACACAATCGACTTCTCCATAACAATACAAAGGAGAAGACTGAGGTCAAACAAAAAGAACCTCAAGAAACTGTTGCTAACTCATTCAGTGTGTCAAAGCATCAAGCCTATTTAAAAATAATTCCAGTGCGAGTAATTGGACCGGCGGGAGCTGTAAACACACACGCCCTGCTGGATGATGGGTCAACAGTTTCACTAATGGATGAAGAGATTGCCAAACAAATTGGAGCTACAGGGCGGTTGGACCCGTTTAAGATCACCGCTATCGGGAACACTACCCTCGATTCACCGGAATCCCGAAGAATCAAAGTATCGCTGAAGAGTCTCCACAGCAAAAGGGTGCCATTCAGAGCACGCACGGTTGCAAGCCTAAACTTGGGGCCACAGACTGTGCGTGCAGCAGACATAACCAAGTGCAAGCACTTGAAAGACCTAAAGGAGCAGCTAACATATGACTCCGGCAACCCAAGGATCCTAATAGGACAGGACAATTGGAGACTTCTGATAGCCACTAAAATCCGAAGAGGTCCGCCGCACCAGCCAATTGCCTCGCTCACAGAATTAGGATGGGTGCTACACGGGGCACACACTAAAGCCCCGTATCAGCGCGTCCACGCGGCCAATGAGCTGCACAAGGGCGAGGTAACTATAGATGACCAACTCCGCGAATATTTCGCGCTGGAATCTCTCATTATCAATCCGAGAAGACCAGACTCCGACCCAGAGAAGAAAGCTGAAGATATACTAAATAGCAGCACCCGTCAGTTACAAGACGGGCACATAGAAACAGCGCTTCTCTGGAAGAAAAAGGATATCGAGATGCCTGGTAATTACGAAACAGCAATAAAACGGATCGTTTCCATTGAAAGAAAATTAGATCGAGACGAAGATCTAAAAAGAAAGTATGATGAACAAATGAATTCCCTAGTACAAAAAGGATACGCCGAGATAGCACCGAAAACTAGCACACCGGGAAGAACGTGGTACAACGGCCCATCATTTCTGTATAAAGAACCGTCAGAATGGCCAACCGAAAGACCCACGTCATCCGAACCTACAGGTGAGGAAAGATCCCTCACCATTAAGGAATCTCATCAAGCTCCGATACTCCGAGAAGCTGTTCCCGATCCAGCAAGGTTTTCGAGATGGGAACGCTTATTGCGAGCTACGGCTAGAGTGCTACAATTCATAACACTCTGCCGCAAAACTACAGACAGGATCTTCTATAAAAGAACAAAAAAGGGCAAAGAGGAAGATCCCGACTGGAGGAAATCGAAAAATAATCCGCGACAAATCGCGCAGCCTCCCAGTCAAGTGAAAAATAGAGATGTCAAAAGGTACATCACACTAGAGGCCGAATTCATCAGAGAGGCCTAAAAGCTCCTGATACGTGCCATACAGGAGGGCTCCTTCTCACAAGAGATAACTGATCTCAGTAATAATAAAAGGGTCGCTCATGATAGCCGCCTACGACCGCTTCAAATAGAATTGAAAGACGGGATCATCGCGCTACGAAGTCGCATAGCCGCCGTGAAGGGAGTCACAGAAGACATGAAGGGGCCAGCTATATTGGATGGTGATCATTACATCACACAATTATATATTGACTGGACGCACCGTAGCCTGCATCATTGCGGAACCGAACCTACCATCAACGAGGTTCGACAGCACTACTGGGTGAT